CGCCCTCCCCCAGAGCCTCTGCTGCCTGCCACACACCCCTCACCTAGCCTTGCTCTGCCTCCCAGCTGCCAGCTGAGTGCTGTGGTAGCGGTTGTCCTCCAGCCTTGTCCCCCAAAGCTGCCGTGGCCCAGTAGCCAGCGGTTTGTGGCCTGGCACCAGTCCACAGACCGGCAGGTGGGAACTGCTGCTCTTCAGTGTATCGCCCTCCCCCAGAGCCTCTGCTGCCTGCCACACACCCCTCACCTAGCCTTGCTCTGCCTCCCAGCTGCCAGCTGAGTGCTGTGGTAGCGGTTGTCCTCCAGCCTTGTCCCCCAAAGCTGCCGTGGCCCAGTAGCCAGCGGTTTGTGGCCTGGCACCAGTCCACAGACCGGCAGGTGGGAACTGCTGCTCTTCAGTGTATCTCCTGAAAAGTCTGCCCTTCAGTTTTTTTGTTACAGCAGTGAACCTGCTGTGCACTCCCCAAGCCCTGCCAGCTGTGCAGGTAGCACAAATCTGCAGGCAAAAATGGACTAGGGATGATGTATTCAAAGAGCAAATGCAGTCCGCCCACTTGGACTGGGAGCACTTAAGTGAGTGGAGGAACATGCTGCTAGAGGAAAGGCGCATGGAGTGTGAAGACAGGAGAGTGTGCAGAGGACTGGAGGCGAAGAACCAGGACAGAGTCTTGTAATCCATGACAGATGTGATGGACCACATGGCAGCTTTGCCAGATGCCTACAAGCACTGGAACCCCCTACAGCCCTTGAGGATCAGCGTTCCCTCCTCACCGAGTTTTCCAGCCTCCTTTCCCAGGGGCAAGGGAGAGGGGAATCAAGGGCAGCCTCACACACAACATCCATGTGTTGCAAAGCAAAAGGCTTCCTTTCTAAAAATTGTGATCCCTCCACCTGGCAAAGTTCCCACCCTGGACTCCTTTTCTGTCTCTGCTGTGTACTCTAAGGGTACATCTACACTGCATGCTTATTTCAAAATAAGCTACTCGGGAATAGTTATTCCGAAATAGCTTATTTCAAAATAGCTCATCTAGACTGCAAGAAAGCTTCAAAATTGGTCTGAGGCCAGTTTCTCTAATGGAGATGTGCTATCTTGATTTAGAGCCCCAGGAGGCACTGGGGAGGAATAATTTAGAATGGCCCTGGTGAAAGGCTATTTCGAAATAGCAGCAGTGGATCATCTACACATGCCTTATTTCGAAATAGCTATTTTGGAATAAGTGTTATTCCTCACTGAATGAGGTTTACAGATTTTGGAAATAGTCATCTGTTATTTTGAAATTATTATGGCTGTGTGGATGCTCAGATTGTTATTTCAAAATAACGCTAGTAATCTCGAAATAACAGTGTAGCGTAGATGCACTCTAAATGAAACTGCATGATTTCTGAACAATCTATTTATTGCTTGTATTGGGGATGAGGAGTATTTACAGGCAAGCACCAGTAGTAGTAATAGTGTATATTAGATGTATTGGAAGTATATGGAAAAAATAGAATAATTAACTACAGTTTTTATTCTCAAGCAAACTCATTTCAAGATGACTTCAAATGCATAATTATGTATCTTTCATATTGTTATTACAAAGGGCCTCTCTACTCAGGGAAATAGTCTCTCAGTAGCTGTTCCTCACCAGCTCCCCAAGTGGACACCCTTACTCTGCACTCAGTGTTTTTGTGTGGTTTACCTTAAACTACTTTGGAATAGAACTTCCAGACCAAAGTGGATTAAGATGAATGGCACAAAGGTACTTCGCGTGTAATAAAATATCCACACAGGTAGGTAGTATGGAGGAGCTATTGCACTTTAAATTCAAACCATTGCTTATTTCACAATAGCTTCTCCATGTAGACAAGCCCTTTAGTACACAATCCAATGTTAATTTTTTGTGTGAAACTGTCAGTATTGTAACACCATATTTTAAAACTTGCCTTGTTGACTGTGGTGACTAAGCGAAGACTTTAACCCAGCCTATACTTGAAGCATTAAACAAACACACACACACATACACACACACACACACACACACACACACACAACAGGGAAAAACAATCCACTTAAAAACATCAGAACAAATCAACACAGTCACTCACGTCACTACTGTATGTTTGTGTGAAGACTCTATAATGTTTGACAGATTATTTTTGATCATCTCTTCTTTAGGTGACTTTATTTTATTTTTTGTAAAATAAATGGCTAAATATATTGTCATCTGTCACCAGGTGAATAAATTGCTAATATTCAGTAAAAGGTTTTTGCTCTTCAAATGTCTAGACAATTCTGATACAATATTTCAACAGCTGAAACAGAAGTAGATTTATATGACAGCAGTAATTTGTGTTCAGTACTCAGACAATATGTGTATTTAAGAGAAGTTGGAGAAGGCAACCTACTACAGTAGTTTAAACAGGAAAATATTAAGTGTTGTGAAATGAAAAGAATAGAAGTAGAATACTATGTCTACATCTCTGTTATTCTCTTCTCTGACAGGTTGATAATGTATGGCTTTGTGAAGGCCATGCTACATGTTGGCCAGTTAAAAGGAGAGGATTTTCACTTCACTGATTGTTTATTCTTTGGCTCCTTGATGTCTGCTACAGACCCAGGTAATCATTTACATTTTGTTTGTTTGTTTGTATGTTTGTTTGTTTGTTTGTTTGTTTGTAGAACCATATAAAACTGTCAGCCATGGAGACCAGAATATAATGCTTCCACTTGCCCATGCTCGTCCTGATTTTACTCCACTAGCTATTAAATAGTTGATAGATATTCTGATAACAAGAAATGTTAGATCAAAAGAAACATTTCACTCTCTGGAAAGATTCTTCTATTAGTTACAATTTGCAGAGTCAGTCCTGAAGCAGAACCATATAGTGTAGAGGAGACACTGTGCTTCTGTAGTCCACAACCTTAGAAATGTTGAAATTGACAAAACTCTAGACCGTGGTTGGGGAACCTTTTTTGGTCAGGGGCCACTGAACCACAAACAATTAAAAAAAAATTAAAAATCTCACTACTCACCTGGAAACTTGCTATTGGCCAGAGGCTAAATCTAGTCCTTGGGTCTTTGGTTCCCTGCCTCTGCTCTAGAGGATGCCTTCCAGTGTTACTAGGCTTAAGGAATAGCAATTCTGCTGTAGATACATAGTGTCAAATATAGCATTTATGTAAGTGGGTGTATCCTTCCCACTTTGTTCTTCCTCCTTTTAAGTCGTGGTCCAATTCCCAGTAAAATCTATAAACATCCTTCCATTCACTTTAATGGGAGTTAAATTCTGCCCTTAATTAACAAAGTGCTTGGAGATTTTCTGTTTGTAGGTATGTTAATTCTTGGTAGGTTGTCTACTGCATATGTAATAATATCTGTAATAAAGAAACAGGCCTCAGGTCCACACATCCCTGAACTTTGGGAAAGTTCTGATCCAGATGTAAACTTTTCAGCCCAGACCAAACTCTGTCTGAATGTATCCTGTTGACAAAGGTTTGGAGACACATTGCTGGTGGAATTGCTCTGCATTGCCTGTAGCAGTCTGGTCATGTTGTATATAAGACACTCAAAGCAAGCATTGGGGGAGCAGAGACTACAATTTGCAGAGTCAGTCCTGAAGCAGAACCATCTAGTGTAGAGAGGAGATACTGACACTAGTCCAGCATGCTCATGTCTGGCTGCCGGATGTGTTGGTTGTCTTGGGTAGAATTACTGTGGCAGTGGATGACGCCTCATGACAAATCAGAGGTTAAATCACAACCTTGTTGTGCTTCGTGGTTAATCTAAACCTGTAATGTGGTAAACCCAACTTTTATTCTTAGGCGTGTAAGTGTTAGGCCATTAGATACCAACTTGTGGTGCCCAGGGTGGCTGACAGACTTGCCAGGCTCTTAGGCATGATGGTGAGGGCTCGACTCCATGCCCGCAGAAGGGCAGGGCCTTTGGTGGAAGGGGTGAGGCTGGAGCTAGCCTCCCTCAGCTAACCTTCACCACTGCCCAGAGCACCACTTGAGACTCTGGGGCCTGGAACCCCAGGCACTTTTAAATTTCCAGGCCCTGGAGCAGCTCCCCCTCCCATCAGCAAGCCTGCTGGTGCCTCTATAATTGTCTGAGGTAACGACAAGTGGCATGCAGCATTTAGAGTCTGATGTGTTGTTAAAATGATGGATGCCAGAATGTCTGTCGGAATTCCCAGATGTGGGATCGGGAATCCTAAACTGACAGATGATGCCTAGTTCTCAAAATTTGGCTCAATGAGTTTAGTGTACATAGAAAAATTCAGTAAAAGGGTTATGATTTTTTTAAAATATGCATTTATTTTTGCCCTTAAGAGGCAATAGTGAAGGAGGTCAAAATGAAAATGGACAGCACACATTCCAGATATAGGCTGAAAATGCACCAGTTCAGTACCATGGTACTGACGAGACATGTATCTTGTGCCATGAAATTTCTTGGTTGTTTGATCATTTTCCTTTTCTTACCGGGCTCGTCTACATTGGCCCCTTTTCCGGAAGGGGCATGTTAATTTCAGCGATCGTAATAGGGAAATCCGCGGGGGATTTAAATATCCCCCGCGGCATTTAAATAAAAATGTCCGCCGCTTTTTTCCGGCTTTTAGAAGAGCCGGAAAAGAGCGTCTACACTGGCCCCGATCCTCCGGAAAAAGCGCCCTTTTCCGGAGGCTCTTATTCCTACTTCAAAGTAAGAATAAGATCCTCCGGAAAAGGGCGCTTTTTCCGGAGGATCAGGGCCAGTGTAGACGCTCTTTTCCGGCTTTTCTAAAAGCCGGAAAAAAGCGGCGGACATTTTTATTTAAATGCCGCGGGGGATATTTAAATCCCCCGCAGATTTCCCTATTACGATCGCTGAAATTAACATGCCCCTTCTGGAAAAGGGGCCAATGTAGACATAGCCACCATGTTTAGTGGCAAATAACTCTTGGCAAGGGAAAGGGAAGTTTATCTAGAGTGTTATTCAATATAGTATGCATGGTGCACTGGAACTTGGTTTCTTACTGCATTTTAGGCATCTAAGTCAAACATTTAGGCATTACTAGGATCGTCAAAACCCCACTTTGGGTGCCACCTAACCCAGTAGGTGACTCACATCCCATAGATGCTTAAGTTTCAACCAGCAGGCATATACAGAACAACCTAATTCCTGACACAGCCAAGCTGCTTTGTTTCATAGTGTCAGGGTCAAATGCACCTCATGGTTTGGTCTTCATCGGGACACTCAAGCTTTTTAGGCTCCCAGCAGTCATCCTTCTTGAGCAGACACTTGTATGTCTCTCTTTCCAGGGCAGGGGTTTAGGTTTCCTGTCCCTCTGTACTTAGCTATGATTTCTCCAGCAGGTCTGGGAAGGATCTAGCACCCGTGGTTAACCTTTCTCCGGGAGCTTCAACAGTGTATACTAGATACCAACCAGCCTTCACAAAGTGAGATACATTTATTCTCAGGGTAAAAACATTGCAGAGAGAATGTAATAAAAACAATGAGTATGTTTTAAAATGCAAAATGTTTAAGTCAAAATCCTAGTGAAGGTAATAGGTGCACAAACTCTGACAGGCTACTTGCAAATGAATTTTAAAATAAACTTCCTAAAAACACAAAAACTAACAGCAAGAATTTTTTAAGTACATCAGAAGCAGGAAGCCTGCCAAACAATCAGTGGATCCTCTAAATGGCTGAGATGTTAAAGGAACACATGGGGAAAAGAAACAACAACAAATGTTAAGCAAATACAAGTCATAGGAAGCCAGTTATGAATTCATAAACATTAATATTCATATCAGGAAGCTGATTTAGAGAATTCTGCTCAACCACAAGGGAACAGAAACAATACCATCCCACTTGACTCATAACTGGAGTTTAAAATAAAATAAGCTCATCTTATCAACAACCTATAGACAAAGAATTGTTTATAGAAAATGTTCAATCAGTAATTTGACTGAAGAATATATTTAATAAAATCACTAGCTGCTTGCAGACAATTCACAAACAAAATACATCTAAATTCACCAGATAAATTATTCTCTTTGTATTTTTATTTGAGGCTCTTATGTATGTGTAATAGTCAAAAAGCTACACAATCTTTCTAAATAGTTACACTTTTTCATTGGCAAGAGGTCCAATCAAGTACAAAGCATAGAATGAAATAAGGCATTTATGGCTAGTGGGAGAGGGCCAGATGGTCAAAACCATTTAAAACAATTAAGTGGATAAGATAACGGCATCAATCTTGTGTAATGGAGTACATCTCAGTCCTTTGAACCTGGAAGGAGAAGTGCTGCCCATTTTTGTTTATACTGGCTTTGAAAATTCATCAGAAAATAGTTTGGAATTTCTGGAGCTGTGACAGAAGTGGAGTGTAGGGCATTTTATGATGCAGACGAAACACTTGTTTTACCTCAATTTGGGCTAACATTCTGCTCTTTCAATGGAACTGCAATGGTTAGCAAAGGGCTTTAAAGACCTTGGTATATCATTGAACAGAGGGTTTGAAAATATGACAAGGGACAATTTCTATTCACTAAACCAATCACTGCTAGTTTGTTTCGTGAACTGGAGCAAATTATTGTTCTCATTCTGGGGTTGAATCCAAACAGCCAATATGCTGCCATTTAAAATTTTCCACAACTCCTTCAATAAGATTCAGTACACGATCAGAACCTTCCTGTGGGAAGGGAAAGGCTAAAGAGATTTATTTTTTTTTAAATTAGAAAGATAAAACGCTCACAAAACAAAAGGTTGCTTACAGCTTCCAAATCCAGCACTTGATTATATTACAAATAATCTGTTGCAGTTGGCTTGTTTTCTCTTTTCCAATCTAATTCTGTTTAGTTGCACCAATGAGCAACTTGGCTAAACCAGTAGCAATGAATCGAAGGGACAAGTGTGTAATGCAAACACCCTGTTCATTGTTTTAATACTGTTAATCCTCCATTCATCCATCTAGGGCAATGCTAAAACACAAAAGAAGTTTGGCTGCCTTTGCTGGGGGAACAGAAAATGACAAGGAATATTTCTCTGAAGGATTTTTGTCAGGAGGAACTCACCAGTTATCTTTGTATTTTGAATGTTTGTTTTAATGTAGGAAGCAATCGGCAACCAAGATTGCATGTAATTTAATTCCTACTTACATAGAGTACCTAACCATCTCCAACAGCAGTTCCCATATTTGATCTTGCCTTGTTCTCTCATCCTGTTTCAACATTTCAGACAGTATTATTTGGTCACTTTAATTCTATCCAGGCATTTTCAGTCTCTCAAAGAGATGGAAATTTGAATTAAATGCTTAATTGTTTTAATGATAGACAGTGGTCAAAAGCACTTCACTATGGTGTAGGATCTGCTAGTGGACATAAAATAGAATGTTAACCATTTAAAACTGTAGTAATAGGAGAATTTATTGTACTCCTCATTATTCAAATCTTGAACCTTGATGTATGCTGCTGGAATAGGAATGAGAGTGGCAATCTGACACATGATAATTGGTGAACTCTTGACAAAATAAATTATCTGGCCAACTGTTTTAAGCGTTATAGATATAAGATGGAATAATATATTGCTATCTGGAAAAAATTGTATTTGCCGCCTGATTTTTTCATCAGTACA